TGTCCTACAACAGCAGCAGCAGCAGCACCAACACCAGCACCATTATCAACACCAACACCAACACCAGCACCATCCTTAGCAACAGTACCATCAAAAACAACTAATTCATTAATGACTTTATTAAGAACTCTCTCTCTTTTGATGGTTGTTGCTCCATCCAACACCATTTTAACTCTATGTACAACAGGAACAAAATTGGTTTCAACCAACCCTAGAGTTATTAGATATGACATTTGCAATTTCTCTTTTAATAGGGTAATCCATGGATAGACAACCTAAAATTGTAAAAATAAGTCATCAGTAAGAAATATCTGTTGCTACAGATGAATTGTTTATCGCAACATGTGTCACAAATGTTCCTAAAGATGATACATCTATAGCAACATGTGTCACATGTTGGAACACATTACTCGTCTGTAGCAACATTTGTGTCACATGTCGCAACATGCGAGTCATCTGTAGCAACATTTGTGGCACATGTCGCAACACATGATTTGTCTGTAGCAACATTTGTGTCACATGTAGCAACAGATGAATCATCTGTAGCAACATGTGACACAAATGTAGCAACATATGCCTATATACTAATAATAACTTACTGCATCAAAAGGAGGGTTAAAAAGATTCTGTAATATGCCCTTCTTTGGTATTTTTTGTTCTTGCCATCAACCATTTCATCATCCTTGGGGATAATCTCTCTTTTTCTGCAATTACTTAATGGGTCAAATAAGGAATGACTTCAAATGTCAGGCCTGTAAAAAAGGATAACTTGTCAATAATCAAATGTTGAATTATTACTTAATATAATATAAAAAGATTAAAAACATTCAGCTTTACCATGAAAGCCCATGGAAACCCAAACAAGTTACTGGTCTTTTCTCCTAAAGGACTCAAAAAAATGACCAAAATAGTTATTTCTGAAAAAATCTTCCAATTGATTTCTTTGAGGATATCTCTGAATTTGATGAAAGGTCTTCCCAGGACTGACTTAATAATGTTGTCACCATTAGTATCAGGCTGCAGCTGCACAGGGAAAGTGTCTGCATTGATGATTTTAATCCCATCCTCACCACTAGCATTGAACTCTTCATGAAGTTCTTGTTCTTCTTCATGAACTTCATTTATTTTTTCTTGTTGTGCCACAACTTCTACTTCTGTATTTTCCCCTTCTTCTTCCTGAGCTTTATTTATTTTCCCTTGTTTCTCAACCTCTTCTTGTTTTCCATCTTCTTCCTCCACTACTTGTCTTTGTTCATATTCCTTTTGACAAAATTCTACTTCTGCTTGAGAAGAAGAAATAACTTTAGTTTCAAGATTTTCTAAAAGTGTAGTATTTTCGTTCCTCTTCCTACCAATTTTAGAACTAGCCTTCTTCTGGATCTTTGTTTGGTCAGATGTATCAGTATCAAGTTTTCTTTTGACAAGAGTCATTATATTTGTATCTGCAACCACAAGTTAGAGCAGGGTAATAAGGATATAAGCAAGCAAATGTATTTCAAACCCTAATTAAATATTACCTGATAAGTTATATATCAACGATAAAGTACAAATTATGAGGACAACACAACACCGACTTTGTTGTAGAAGATAATCTGTGAGAGAAGTAAGAGAACGAGAAGTGTAATGTACTGGTAAAGGGAGAGGAGAGAAGAAACCTGAAATTAATATTAGTATAAAATATAAATAAATCTTGGAATATGAAATGACACATTTATAGAAGAGAGGAGAGAGGAGGAGAGAGGGGAGAGGAAAATGAAAATTAAAGTCGTTTATTTTTTTTTAATTAGGACAATTCAAACTGTGATATATGTTGCCACATATATATTATATGTTGCTACATATATACGATCTGTTGCCACATATAATCTTGTCGTGTTTATTACTACAGGAATTACATATGTTGCGACGCATATACTATCTGTTGCTACAGATGATTCGCTCTGTTGAGACATATAATTTTGATCCTTTCCATCATAGTTGACATTTGTTTAAACAAAATCGAAATAGTCATTAAAAATATTTTAATATATAACCACCTATCTAATTATTGGTTGTAAACACAACATTTTCATCGATCTTAGCTTTTTTTAGTTCTACGCATCTCTGCGTCTTCATTGTCACTAACATAACCATTTTGAGCCTTTACAATTCCATAATTCCATAGGAGTGAAGAATATCTCAAGCGAAGGGTGTCAGCACTAATTCCACATGATGGTACTTGTAATCCATCACTCAAATACTCAGTGTATGCAGCAACAAAAATTTCACAATCTCTGCATGGTATATCATCAATCAGAAAATATAATAACATCACATTTCGATAGTCATAATGCAAAATAATATTGTGATACTTATAAACTACTTCATTCTTGTTGGGCAATACCAGTAACATGGCTGACTTCGAATGAGTGAGATTTGTTCTTTTCTTGGTAACATTTAAGAACAGACCAGTTGATTCGCTCATTTTCCTCAAAAAATTCACTCAACTCAAGTACTTTGGCAACATTGTAGCCATCTTTTGAATCTCGGAGGATAGCTTTCTATTAGACCTATTTGAGTACATGGAATCATACACTTTTATGCACCGTTCCTTCAATGCAACGACTGCCAAAATCCAATGGAATTTCACATTATTATTTATAGGGACATAAACATCATCCGTCAAGTGTCAAGGCATTCCAGAAGGTATAACATACTCTTTCATTATGCCAATGATTTTATCCTCATATTCACTAGAATTGTCAATGTATATTTTGAACAAACAACTAGTGGTGGTATATTGATATTTAGAATGAATCTGTTGCTTCGACTTCTTACGCAAATAGTAAAATATGACATCAACATACTGCATACTTAGATGAAATAAGTGTATCAATTTAATTGTATATATTAATGTACTAAACAATACATATAAAAGTGGACATGAATTTACCTCATCATTCCAGCACCTATTGGGTTGAGACATTATGTAGAACCAGTCCTTATTCATTGGAAATGCAACTACTAAATCAAGTTGGCCAAATTCAAGTTTTGAGCTGTTGGTTAAGTAGTGATCCTCCTTGTTTCCTTTGCAATTGTGTAATCATTATAAATCATTATCTATTGGACAACAAGAAGAAATTCTAATAATAGTTGAACGACCTTACTTTACTTATTTTTTTGCATGATGCTTCTAAAGACCCTCGTTTATCCATTGCGAGAAAGATGGCATTTGCTCAGTTGGACCCTCGCTGTCAATGTTAAAACCTTTAAATGGATATTGTCGCTTCACATCACAACTGACAACTTCGACTTTCTTCCCTTTCTTTTTCCCTTTCACTTTTTCTTTCTGCTTCACCTTCTCCTTCTCCTTCTCTTTCTTCTTCTCCATATCCTTTGCCTTCTTTTTCTTCTCCTTCTCCTGTTTTGCCTTCTTCTCCTTCTCCTTCTCTTCTTCTTCTTCTTCTCCTTCTCCTTCTCCTTCTCCTTCTCCTGTTCTGCCTTCTTCTCCTTCTCCTTCTCTTCATTTGCCTTCTTCTCCTTCTCCTTCTCCTCCTTTGCCTTCTTTTCCTTCTCCTCCTTTGCATTCTTCTCCTTTTCCTTCTCCTCCTTCTCCTCCTTTGCCTTCTTCTCCTTTTCTTTCTTCTCAATAATCATCAAAATTGTTTGAGAAATAGATTTTTTCAACCTTCTACATCTCAGAGGTTGTGAAGTCTTCTTGGATCTTTGCACATCAATATTATGAGACATTTCCTGAAAAATATCAGAGAGTTTTTTTTAACACGACTAATACAATAATCATGTTGCTGCTCATATTCTTCGCATAGACAAAAAAAGGATTTCATGAGATTCTTGTATAATTTCATCTACAAGGTAAATAAAAAAATATTGAGATTTTACAATTCATTATAAAATAATAATAGTTGTATGTTGCAATCGATAGATAGTCCGTTGCAATAAATTAACATTATGTTGCACATATGTACCTGCTGTTGCGCAACATATACATCTTATGTAGCGACCGATGCATCATATGTTGACACATATGTACAGATTATTGCAACATTTGAATCATATGTGGCAACAAATGACCAACATATCACTAAAATGTGGCAACATACGTTATATATATTTTGGACGCCTGAACAACACTATATTTCTAAAATCATATCAACAAAATGGCCAAACAAAAGAATAACAACAACAAAAGAAAATGACTTTTCACTGAATGATAACATTACAGATACATTTCCTCAAAATAAGCATTTTTTGAGTTGACTGATTTTCTTTCATAAATGATAAATAATACACCATTATGTCGATTATTCAGTTTTTAGACCTACAAAACATTTTGTTGTTCAATAATCCAAGAAAAATACTTCAAAAATTGTAAGTATTTCAAAAAATAACTTATCCATTTCTAGTCAATTACGATTATAGATTAGAAAGATGAGAGAGTAATGGAGGATTGGAGAGGAAGAGTAACGACTGCAGAGGAAGAGTAACGACGGATTTCTAAGTTTCTAAGGAAGAAGATGAAGAAAAGAAGAGAAAAAAGAGAGGAGGGAAGATGAATTTTTTTCTTTTTAAATAATTTGATTTGAATTATAAAAATATTTTTTTTATATATTTTATAAAAGATTAAAAAGTAGGGAAAATACCCAAGTACCCCTCAACCTATGCCCGAAATCTTAGAGACACACTTATACTATATTAAGGTCCTGTTACCCCCTGAACTTATTTTATATGTAATTTTCTACCCCTTTTTAGCCTACGTGACACTAGTTCGAAAAAAAGTCAATCATCATTGGGCCCACAAGATAGTGCCACGTAAGCTAAAAAGGGGTAAAAAATTATTAATAAAATAAGTTCAGGGGTAATAGGACGTTAGTATAGTATAAGTGTGTCTCTGAGATTTCGGCACATTATTCCTAAAAAGTATTAAAAATTAGTTAATTACATTTTAAATAGAATTTGACCGTTTATTGACCAATCTGTCGCCAAAAACATAAACGAGCTTATTTGACACCTTTGGCTTAATTTTCTCATCTTACTCACTACACATCCAAAAGAGTAGCACACATGTCAACCACAACGCCGCCGTCACCGCCACAGCGTCTGGCTGCACTTCCTTGCCATACCTCAAACAAATTGCGTAATTATACACCCATCCAATCCTTCAACCGTAAGGATTTTTCCATTCGATGTGAATTCGAGAATAGTCAAAGGTGGACGGTTGGTTGTGTTTCGGGCACTGATCCAATTCATATTATTCTAAAACCTCCTTCCATTCCAATGACTTCAGCTGCTGTTTTAGGTTCATCTGGGAAGAATTCTAAGAGAGTTTGCTTATTCTATTGCAATGAAATGAAGGACCTTGCGGAGAGAATCGCTTCCCAATCCGACGCCATTGAGCTTCGTAACATCACTTGGAGGTATGATTTTCCCCTAACTACTTTCCTTTGGAATTTAATTTAGTTTTTTTAGGCTTGAAATTGTTGGAAATCAATTATTTCTCCTTCCTATCAAATATCTGACATTCTCATTTTATATAATGTTACAAATTTGTAGAATTTAAAATATAGTTTCATTTAGCAAATTTATGTAGTAATATCATGTTTTTTTCATTCAATTTTGATTGAGTGCTGAGTTTTGCATATATTTGGACTTGTATAATTAATTAGTGATTGTGGAAGATACATTGAATATGCAATTCGTTTGCTGAGAAATAAAAATGATCCATGTATGAAAGTTTCATAAATAGAACACCATATCAAAATATAAAATTTAATGGCATTGATCATATGTGATGTTTCACGATAGAAAGTGTTTAGGATGGAGAGACTAACACTTGAAGAACAAGAATAAATAAAGGGAAACAATCTCGTTGAATTAGTTGAGATGCGTGTAAGCTGGCTCAGACACCACAATTATCAAATAAAAAGTGGTGGTGGGTGGGGGATCTCACCAGCATTTATTAAGGGATCTATACTTGACCAGAACTTTTAACTGTTTGGCTAATTTGTTTTTCCAATGCAAGCTATACAAATACAAAGTATACAATTGCGTCAATTTTAGTGTCACATTAAATGGGGGCAAAGGAAGTACAAAATTTGTCCTGATTACTATGTCTGTGAGGATAGTTTTTGATAATTGGAATTTTGCCTGCTTATTATGATATTAGAGTTTCACTCTTAGCAATTTACTAATATGCTTGTCAACATAGTTTTGAACTAAAAGTTCTATTGGATATATTTCTTTATCTGGACTTGGATACAGATCAAAATGAGGGTAGAATTAATTGGATTTTCTGATCTCTATCGCTGCATTGTTGGGGAGACAAACTATTTCAGTAGCAGTAACTCAAGCACTGTCTGTTGTAGAGTTTTTTCTGCAAAGTTGATTTGGTATTCAATAATTCAGGACTTTTGATCTTTACCTTATCCCAAAATAAAATTCAGGACTTTTGAAGATGGATTCCCCAACTTATTCATATCTAACGCTCATGGCATCCGTGGACAGCATGTAGCTTTCCTTGCTTCTTTTAATTCTCCTGGAGTAATTTTTGAGCAATTATCCGTCATTTATGCATTGCCAAAGCTCTTTGTTTCCTCATTCACACTTGTTCTTCCATTTTTCCCGACGGGCACATCTGAGCGTATGGAGGATGAAGGTGATGTTGCCACAGCTTTTACACTTGCCAGGATTTTGTCGAACACCCCAGTTCCTCGAGGAGGACCAACTAGTTTAGTTATATTTGATATCCATGCATTGCAGGTGTACACCAAATTCGAGTCTCCGCAAAAAAAGTGATGTTTTTTCGTGCTGGTCATCTTCTAGCTTATATGTCATCCTGTTGTTAAGCTGATGACACTTGTTTATATCACTTCTCTGATTACAGGAGAGATTCTACTTCGGAGACAATATACTACCATGCTTTGAGAGCGGGATCCCATTGCTTCTAAATAGGCTACAACAACTCCCTGACTCTGACAATGTAAGTTTCTTTTGTGTTCTCAAAGGCTAATTAAAGGCGCACTTAATCCCTGAAGCTTAGAAATGACCAGGGAGGCTCTTCGACTTGCTTAAGTTATGCTTCAATGTGGTCAAAGAACTAAAGCATGCACACTCATTGCTATGAATTCTATCTTGATTGAGCAGTGCTAAACAACAAATATAATTGGCAAATCAGTGCATTAGTTGTTAGGAAACTACTATGAATAAATTTGTTATGTTTTTCTTGATTTATATAAATATATATATTTCCTTCATTACACCTATTTTTTTGGAAATCCCACACTTAAATTGTGCTTTGCGCTTAAAGCTAGAATAGACCTGGAGCGCTTTTTGAGTTTTTCACTTCTGACAACACTGAATTTCTTCTCCTCTCTTTTTATCCTGGTATGAAGCAGAACATAAATGAATTAATCTTATGTTTGACATCTGTTGTGGGAATAACATTATTTTGCATTTTAATTTCCTTGTTTTCTTTACATAATCTGCTATTGAGGAACTCCAATAAACTAACATGTTGATAAAAAATTATAACATATAAAAGCTGAAGGGATCATGAGGATATTGATTGAGCAGTAAACAACAAATATAATCAGCAAATCAGTGCATTAGTTGTTAGGAAACTACTATGAATGAATTTGTTATGTTTTTCTTGAATTATATAAATATATGTATTTCCTTCATTACACCTATTTTTTCGGAAATCCCACACTTAAATTGTGCTTTGCGCTTAAAGCTAGAATAGACCTGGAGCGCTTTTTTGAGTTTTTCACTTCTGACAACACTGAATTTATTCTCCTCTCTTTTTATCCTGGTATGAAGCAGAACATAAACGATTAATCTTATGTTTGACATTTTTGCATTTTGATTTCTTTGTTTTCTTTATATAATCTGCTATTGAGGAACTCCAATAAACTAACATGTTTTCTTTACATAATCTGCTATTGAGGAACTCCAATAAACTAACATGTTGATGAATATTATAACATATAAAAGCTGAAGGGATCATGAGGATATTGAAACAAATATCCTTCTCATCTCATTAAGCTAAATGCTTCTATCCCTTCAGTTCAAACTCTGATGGGTAATCTGGGTAGATTTAACTCGCATTCTTTGATAAAGATGATTGTTACTAGAATCAAAGCATCTAATCTGGCAGAGTTGGTTACCTCAAGGCTCAAGCTTAAAACTGTTTATTTTCCTTTTTGATAATGATGGTGTATGGGCCGGTTTGGCCACAACTCAACTAATCCACCGGAAACCTGGTACTACCTCCCTCTAGTGTAGATACTGGTATCTTTGTCCATCAAATCTTAGGACATATGGAATGATACCTACTGTTGTTCCTTTTTTGGGATTTCAACCTTGCTCTCCCATTGTCATTTGAGCTTGATTGCCTTTGGGACACACCTATTGGTTTTTTAGGCTTCTTAAGAACTGTTCTAGTTTCGGTTTCCAGTTCAGATTTCTCAAACTGTTAGCTCTCAATCAGATATCATGTTATGATTCAGCAGTTCAGTATTCAAGCATGAATTTTTTTGAAGTATGAGTCCATCATATGATGTTAATGTAACAAATTCCTTTGAGAGGCTTTTCCTTTTTCATGAAGACGCAAAAAGAAATATAATGATCTTGGTCCTAAAGCTCTTAATTCACATAATGTTAGAATATGAATAGGTTTATACAATCCTATTAGAATAGGAATAGGTTTATACAATCCTATTTAGAAAAGGAATAGGAATACAAATAGGAATAGGAATAGTAAATAGTATCCTACTTGGTAAAAGATTATATTCTAGTGTCTATAAATAGGATCTCAATGTAATAACATAGACACCAACAACAATTCAACAATATTCTTTTCCTATATTTTAACGATCTTGGTACAAAATCAAAGAGCTTCCGCTGCCCGCAGGCGGCTTTTACTCATATATGCCACCCGGTTGGCCAACAATTATGTTAGCAAAAGTTGGGTCACCGTGCCATCATTACGGTGACTACTTTTTCATATTTAATTTGTGTAGCACCGTGCCATCCTTTTGGTGACTAACTTTTTTTTTTCATATCTTATTTGCGTAGCACCGTGCTTCTCTCCGGAATACTTTTCTTATTTAATTTGGATAAAATGATCAAATGAGCCCCTAATCTATTACCGGATTTTCAATTACACACTTATACTTTACGAGGGTTCTATTACCCTGACTGATTTAAAAAATAAATTATTACCTCCCTAAAAAGTCACAACCACATTTGTGTTGATAAGTGCAATCCACGCGTTTGACACGTGTAACTTTTTTTTTAATCTTTTTGTCCTTTTTAACTGATTATTTAATTCTTTTTTCTTTTTCCTTTTATTTCTTTCACTTCCTCTTCTTGTTCTTTCTCTTCCATCCTTCAATTCCATCTTACCATAAAGCCACAAGCAGAAAGCTTGAGAAGTGAAAAAAATTATGGTGGTAATTAGATGAATGACAAACCTCCGCGTCATTTTTGCAAGAGCAAGGGTTCAATAAGAGGAATGACCTAAAAAAAATTATTGGTCAAAATCTTTTTGGAAGAGGATGTTTTGAGAATTTTTTAAGAAGATCCCTAACATTATTAAGTTGTTTGGATGAATTTTGTTAACTGAAAAAAACTGTTACAATAGCTTCAAAATGATAATTCAATGGTGTTTTAATGGCTAAGTTGATTTTGAAAATGGAGGTAAAGTAATTTACTTAATAATTACCCTTCGGGGTGGCCCAGTGGTTTAAGCTTGGGACTTCCATGTTGGAGGTCTCAAATTCGAAATCGGGCCAGCGAAAGCAAGGGGTTTGCGTTCTGGGTCGAGCTCGTCGCACCAGGCTTGCCTAGTGCGGGTTACCTCTCCTATGTGGTTTGCGAGTTATTGCATAGGAGCGGGGTTTTACCCTGTGCGCACCCAAAAGGGTAGCGGCTGCGGGTTTCCCTTGTCGTCAAAAAAAATTTACTTAACAATTTTTTATTGTGTGGAGAGTAGGTAAGAGGTTTCTATCTAGAATTATAATATGTTAATAGATATTGTAATTGATGATGTTTCCTGATCATGATGGTGAAATTTGATGGCTACCATGGATGCTGTAATAAGTTCTTAAGAAAAAGAAGAAAAGAGATGAGATAAAACAAATAAAGAAAAAAAATAAAAATGAAAGGAATATTAAAAATAAAGTTTTAATATTTATATTTGATCTTCACTCTCTCAAAGGGAGTGAAATACACTTACTTTGCCACATAAGCATTTAGGGAGGTAATAATTTCAATTTTAAATAATTCACGGGGTTATAGGACTCCCGTAAAGTAAAAGTGTATAGTTGGAAATTCGGTAATAGGTAGGTCTCATTTGACAATTTTCTCTTTAATTTGCGTAGTACCATGGGTTGTTTTTCCGAACTACTTTCTCATATCTGAGTTGCATAGCACCGTGTGTCTTTTTAGTGACTCCTTAGATTTGATTTGCATAGTTCCATTCGTCTTTCGATGACTTTTCAAATTTGATTTGCGTAGGGTGTGCCATCATTCCAATCCTACCTATATAATTTCTCCTTTTTATTAAGTTTGTGCCATCATTCCGACCCTACCCATATCGTTTCTCTTTTTCAATGGGATCGTTCCATCAATTTGAACTATCTTATATAATTTCTATTCTCTAGTTGGGAGGTGATATCATTCCGACTCTACCTATATAATTTTATTTCTTTGATTATGATCACTTTCAGCCATTAAATCTAATACTCCGATATATGAGCATGTTCCAACCAATTTTTCGGTGACTTGTTTAATATCGACTCATCTATTGATTCCAACATGATCCATATACATTATATTAGATTTTGAGCACCTTGTTGCTCGAGGGAATTTAGTAGCCTTTTACGTCGATTATTTGAGTTACTCTATGGTCTGAAGTAGTCTTTGCAAGTTTGGTTTGGGAAGTTCAACACTAGAATATTATCTCTGTGTTTACCGACATTATGCATCGAATCCAGTATTTAATAAGAAGACAAGCACATTGAGATTGATTGTCAATTTTGTGAAGTCGACTGATCAAATTGCAAATATCTCACCAAGGCACTCATTGGTACTCGTATTGATTAAATATGTAACAAGCTAGGTACATGAATTGTGTGCACTAGGTTGAGGGGGAGCGTTAGAATATGAATAAGCTTATACAATTCTATTAGAATAGAAATAGCTTTATACATTCCTATTTAGAATAAGAATAGGAATACAAATAGGAATAGGAATAGTAAATAGTATCCTACTTGGTAAATGATTGTATTCTAGTGTCTATAAATAGGATTTCAAATGTAATAATGTAGACCAACAACAATTCAACAATATTCTTTTTCTCACACATAACAGATGTGCTTATGACATTGGAGGAGGCTGTGCTTTCACTTACTGGTTATATGGATGAACTAATGGAAGTGGTCAATAGTAAAATAATTTTTGTGCTGATAATTAACCTCTATTGTTTCTCTTCATCAAAAAAATTGAAATGTAATTTCTCTCTCTGTAGATATCTATAGCTTTTCCTGATGATGGTGCATGGAAACGTTTTCACAAGCAGCTTCAGCATTTTCCTATGGTATTCCTTCAAAACTAATTTGGTGCTCTAAAAAACTCCGTCAGCATGATGATTAGACATTTGCATTCATGCTTTTATGCGCTTACACATTCTAACGAGGGATCAAATAATATTTACCTTCCATGGTCTCATATTTCAAGTTTTTTCCTTCTGCACTTGTAATTTACTGATTGCAAGTAGCACTATTGACCATTATATTGCAATGAGGTACTAATGTCCAAAACTGGAAGCCCTAAACTACTTAAAATAAGTTCAAATTGTATTGGACAAATTGAAAATAGGAGTATTGTCTTTTAAATATGTGCTGGAGTACCTGTGCCTAAAGTTGGAGTCCATAAACCACATAAATAAGTGCATAGTGACTAACATTATAAAATGGTCCCTCACTTTCCCCTCACAAAGCAAAATAAATAGAAGATGCAACAACTACAACATACCCAATGTAATCCCACAAGAGGGGTCTAGGGAGGTTAGTGTGCAGGGTCAACTCAACCATTAGACTACTAAATCAATGACTTGGGGCCCCAATTTTTCCCATATATATATACACAAATATATGTATATGTATACACACACACACAGACATATATATATATATGTGTGTGTGTGTGTACATATACATACACATATATTTGTGTGTGTATATATATACATATATATATATTTGTGTGTGTGTGTGTGTATATATATATATATATATATAGAGAGAGAGAGAGAGAGAGAAATTATATTTTCTATTGAAAAGATTCTTTTCAAATTGAATAGTACATGGATATTTTTTTCTAATGTACTATTAAATTTGAAAAGAATATATTGGGTAGAAAATATAACATAGGGGTCGTTGTAATAATTGAGGAATGAAATAGTCTTAGGTAATTGTAGTATCCTTTCGTACGTGGCTACCTATTTTATTCCCTCATTTATATTCTGATGCCACATGAACCCATATTTGTTCCCTTGGCGGCTCAAACTCACGACCAATGCCAATTCTGCCGGAGCTATTCTATAAGTAGGAATACAAATAGGTTGCGTATCTGGGAGAAGGTCAATACCGAACTTTATTTCCCTTTAGGGAGGAATACCGGGTAAGTCATCTGGATACACTTCCATAAACTCATTTACAACGGGGACCGGCTCAACTATAGGGCTTTCGGAATTTGCATTCCTCACCCAACCTAATTACTGAATATTTAGAAGTCTCCCAAACGATTAAATCTTCTGCTTAATGCAAAATCTATTGTTGCAACATTTCAAAAAGATCAAATTTGTTTTTTGCTGTCTTCTTCAAATTCAAACATTGCAACAAGTATCATTTTACTGAAGCAACACAACACTATTTTGATATCATTAAATCTACTTATTAAATTCGGCATAATACTATTTTGATATATTTATATCAACTTATCAAATTTTTGGTCAGGTTTTATTATTCTTATTACTTTTAATTTGCATTGTTTACATTCTTACTTCATAAGGTCTATGTACATCCTATCATCTGCAAACCTCACTTGTAGGATTATATCGATTACACTAGGTATGTTATTGTTATCCAATTTATACATGTCTAGAAAGAAAAAAAATCAACGGCTCTTTATAAAGTTTGGCTTTTGGCCCCCAATCGCGTTGAGACGGCTCTAGTAGTATGTAAGGAGACCATACCCCTACCTTGGGAGGTAGAGAGGCAAGTTGATTAAGGCATGTCTGTATTGATTTTGGCAACAACACCATGCTATTGATCCTGAGATTAAGGCATGATTGCTTAATGCTTTATGTTTGGTGAGGGGTTAGAGAAGGAGAGAAGTGGATCATGCTAAGTTATGAACTTCTGAAAGTGCCCGAGCTTACGAAGTATACTTCCTTCTTTCTCTTGATTACAAAGCACCACAATCTAAAACTGTCAAAAGAATTTGAACATGATTGTTGCAACTGTTCATTTCTTAATTTAAGATGTCATCACATGAGGTGTGCATGTCTGTATTGATAGTGACGACAACACCATGCTATTTTGGGTGTTTGTTTTCTAGACTTGGCAGATCTGGGAGACACCATCATCTTTTTGTTTGTTGAATTAAGTCTATTTCCTTATAATTAAGTCCTTAAATAATCAAACTGCTGAATTTTTTTTATCATTTCATTAAAAGTCTACATCTTGTTTTTCAATTTGCTTTATATCTGAAACCATGTTAGTGATGCTCATTGACATGGCTTATATTGATTATCAGATTGTCTGTGCTAAAGTTAGGGAAGGTGATCAACGAATTGTACGGATTAAGGAGGGAGACCCTGCAGGACGTCATGTTGTGATAGTGGATGATCTTGTACAATCAGGTGGCACCCTAACAGAATGCCAGGTGAGAAAGCATTTGGACATAAACTGAGTGATATCTGATAAAAGAAGAAGTGATATTTGAAGTTCAGTTGAAAAAAAGGTTTTTGAAAGTTGAAGTTATGTTTGGACATGTAGAAAAATGTGGAAGTTTTGTAAGGGAAATTTTTTACATGAAAAACTTTTTCTCAAGTTTGGAGTGAAAAACTGACGCAATTTATAACCAATCAGGCCCCTAGTAGCGTTGTCTGCTACTCTACATTCTACATCTGGACAAATCTACTTATCTCACATTAGTATTATTTGCTCATTTAGCTATAAATTAATGACCTAGTCTGTCTTGGAAAAAGAAAAGGAGAAGTGTTAACTTTCCATATGGTCTAATACTCCAAAATAGAAGTTCTGGTACTCTTGCAACTCATATCCATTGTGACTAATTTGAATTACTTGTCAGAAATTGGTGAAGAAACTATTATGTATGATATTTCGTTTTGCACATAATCTCTGATAAGTGAAAAGCTTGCCTCATTTAGGAAGTTGATAACTATATTGTTTTGGACCCTTCAAAATCATGTCAATCGTTTTGATACGATTTGGATGTGGGATTAACACCCAATCTGGTCAACTTGCTTTTGAATAGTTTATCAACTAGCCCTAGGATTATGGAACAAAGGATTTTATCTCAGACTAGACCAATGTATTGATGGCGATACGATGTGATAAAATGCAAGAGAAATTAAGTCAAGAAATAGGTTACTTGTCTTAACGGGCAAAGTGAGCGTCCCTTTTTTGAATTCAGGAATTTAGAATCAATCAAATCTACGAATAACCGCGTAATAGCCAACCACTCTACCACTGAGGTACCAAGGAACACCAGGAGATCCAATGATACAGAGTTTAATCCCCCTTCTCAACCCATAATCAATATGAGCTTGAAGCCTCCTTCGTAACTCCTGGAAATTCTTCCTGATTCCCTTGCATGATTTAGTGGACTTACCTTGGGTGCTTTGACTATATATGTATTTTTTTGAAACGGGTAACTTGTATTCCTCAACATTAAGGGCTATGCTGGCCACCTCCTGAAAGTGTTAACAAAGTAGAGAGGAAAAAAAGAAGAAAAAAGAAACACCAATACTTACAAAGAACCTACGAAATCAACTAATTGGATTTCCTCTTCTATATTATGTTCTTTATACCAAAAACCTAAGGAAGTAATTCTTCCCATTTAATCTTCTGCATTGAGCATTCTTTTCCATAAAAATCCTCTCATTCCTTTCCTTCCAAATATTCCACTAGATACAAGCAGGTGTCCTCCACCACTTCTTTTGACTCTTGCTAACCCAACAACTCAATAAATCTGTTGTGTGTTCAGGCATACACCAGTTTAGGCTAGCTAAATTGAGGAATAAATCCTATACTTGTGTTGTTACTTTGCAATGCCAGTGCCTCTTTGCATAGTAACCATCTAAAGTATCACGCCCCGAGCTACCCCCGAGATGCGGACACGAAACTTAGAACCACAGGTGATCCCAAGCTAACCTTGCTGGCATGATCATGAGCATACTAAAGATAATAAGCTGATGCAGAAGCTAAATCATAATTAAATTTAAAAAGATGGGGAATACCCATATTTTATAACTGAGATATTTGAAACAATGAGTTTAATACAAAGGAAATATTAACTCAATACTAAGCTGAATCTAACTATGTTTGAAATAAACCTCTAAATTTGATTAGAAATACTGAGACAAGCCCCAGCTAAATCTAGCAAAAACTAAAACTAAAGAGACTAAAGACTGAAATGAAACTCATAATAGTTGTCCTAGGAGAATGAGGACTCACCACTGAATCTGCTGAACTGGAGAACGAAAAATCGATCTATGCGTGATCTGGATGCTGAGAACCTGAACCTACATCACGAGATGATGTAGCGCACGTATGCGTCACTAGTTGAAAGGTACTAAGCATGTAGGATAAAGTAAAGCTGAAATAAAACATAACTGAACAAGCATAAAAGCAAGTATAATAATCTGACCATCATATACTGAATTTCTGAGCTAACTGAATGCAATGACCAATTTATAACATGCTGAAACTGAATATTGAGTATATTGATAAATGGTCAATGGAGAGAGTCTGACTGATATGTGGGAGCTACTAATAACCGATAATAAAACCACATGAGCTAAATGTGGAGTCCGATGTATACGCCCCATTGAGAGGACCCAATATACCCTGCCAAAGGTATAAATGCATGCTGGCGGGTGATCACTAAACTGATTGCCCACAGAGGGGACTTACAACCTACTTCGCTAGTAGTTCTGCGACTATAGGGTACGCTAAACCCTAGTCCAACTCGGTATTATGCTATTCCCAATGAATTTTGTAAATTAAATGATTATGTCTGAGTTTATGTAAATACTTGATAGCTCGAAACTGAACATGCAAACTGAGAATGCCATAATTAATCCGGTAATTATGCATTTATAACTGAGGCATGTATATCTAAAGTGTCTGAATTCTGAAATATCTGAGCTAGCATGTGTAATTCAAGAACTTATAGAAATACATAGCTAGGGTTCTGAAATTCATGCGATAATCTGAGTAATAACATGATAATCTGATTTGGAACATATATTTAACTAAATCATGAAGTTCTATCAAAGTTCTAGAAACCCTAGGTTTAATAATAATAAGAGAATCAAGAATCTGACTAAAAATTAGAGACCCAATGGGTGAAAGGAACCCACTAGTGAAATCTCACATATCTGGTGATGAAATCCACGGAAAAATAGTTAAGTTTTGTGGCTAGAACTGCTGGACACTTGTTTCGTTCTTGAAGTAGGGTTCTCGAATTTTTTCTCCTTTCTTGCTTCTAGTTTTCTAACTTTTGATTTAATACATAGATGTGTTTTAATTATGTTTCTAGGCTTAAACTGACTAAAATATGATGATTTAGGGTCAAAACGACGTAACTTAGGGTTTAAACGGAGTGGGAAAGGTCCAAAAGACCCCTGGGAAGGTTGCTGTTTGACCAAACGAAGGCCAGGCCTGACGGTCCGTTGTTTGCCCTACGCCCCGTCGTTGGGGCCTTTTCGACAAGCCTTTACTAAAATGGGCATAACTTTTTACTCGAATGTCTGATTTTAGCAAGGTTTGTAACTATGGAAGGCTAATTCAATTATCTATATGTGGGTAGGTTATGAGACATCTAATTCATCTTGTGCTAAGAGTTTAGACCATTTGAAGTTGACCCAACTGCATTTCCCCTTAGCTGTCTGCAAATTTTCCACCTACGGTCAGACCTACGGTCTACGGACTGTAGGTCCACCTACGGACCGTGCTGGTCATCCGTAGCTCTTGTCAGAGAGTGGGTGAATGGGGGTCTCGATCGACGGTCACGGACTACGGACCGTCGTCTAAAATATGGATCGTCGGTCCGTCCATCGATGAATACTTAGCCAATTTTTTCCCGGCTGAATTTTTGGAAGTTTCTGATCCCATCGATGTTTGTGCAGGACGGATCGTGGTTGAGACTACGGTCCATAGATGCCACCGTTGGTAGCACCTACAGATTTTTCTGATAAACGAATTTTTGGTCTGTTTTGGCTACGGGGTGTTACATTATCTCCCCCTTGGGAACATTCGTCCTCGAATGAAGACTAAACTAGCTGAAATAGAGAGAGAGAGAGCTGCAAACCCCACTACTAAACACTGAGAACCGAGTTTCTGACTAAATTGAGTTCTGAGTACATGCAATTACGCTGAAAATGCAAGTACAAACTGAGGGAACATGATTCTAAAACTGAATTTTTGCATGAATTACTACAAAACTGAAGAGGAACTATTACCTAAAGCTGGAATGGAATCGGAAGGAAAGAGGCTAGGATACTTGGCTTTCATGGCTGCTTCTGCTTCCCAAGTAGCTCCCTCTACGGACTGACTCCTCCACAAAACCTTGACTGAAGTAACTTCTTTATTTCTCAATCTTCTAACCTGACGGTCAAGAATCTTAACTGGTACATTCTCATAAGAAAGACTATCATTCACCGCCACACTCTCTAATGGCACTATAGAGGCTGGATCACCCATACACTCCTTCAAGAGTGAGATGTGGAAGACCGGATGCACTGCTGCTAATTCTGCTGGAAACTCTAACTCATATGTCACCTTGCCAACCCTTTTTAAGATCTTGTAAGGGCCGACGTATCTAGGACCGAGCTTCCCTTTCTTTCCAAATCTCATCACCGCTTTCATAGGTGAGACCTTCAGAAAAACCCAATCATCAACTTGGAACTCTAGATTCCTTCTTCTTACATCTGCATAAGATTTCTGACGACTTTGGGCTGTCTTAAGTCTATCTCTAATAAGTCTCACTCTCTCCATAGCATCAAGGACTGAATCTGGCCCTATTAAAGTTGTTTCACCTACTTCAAACTAACAAACAAGAGATCTACATCTACGCCCATATAAAGCCTCATAAGGGGCCATCTGAATGCTGGAATGATAGCTATTATTGTAGGCAAACTCAACAAGAAGAAGGTGATAATCCCAACTACCTTTGAAATCGATCACACAAGCTCTCAAAATATCCTCTATGGTCTGAATTGTACGCTCTGCCTACCCATCCGTATGTGGATGAAGTGTTGTACTAAGATTAAATTGATTACTAAGACCTTTCTGAAATGACTTCCAGAAATGGGAGGTAAACTGAGGACTTCTATATGAGATGATAGACAAAGGAACCCCATGTAACCTCACAATCTCATTAATGTAAATCCTTGCATAGTCTTCTGCCGAATATGTATTCTTGACCGCCAAGAAGCTAGAAGACTTAGTCATCCTATCAACTATCACCCAAATGGAGTCATTTTGTCTGCGAGTACGCGGTAATCCTGTGATGAAGTCCATATTGATCACATCCACTTCCAAGTAGGAATATCGATCTCTTGAATCATACTCCCTTGTTTTTGATGTTCTACCTTGACTTTCTAGTAATTGGGGCACTTACTCACAAAGTATGCTATATCCCCTTCTTCATGTCATTCCACCAATAGACTTCCCGCAGATCGCGGTACATCTTAGTGGAACCTGGATGAATAGAGTACTGAGAGTTATGGTCTTCTGCAAGAATATGCTGTCTCAACTTGCCCAAATCAGGAACACACAAACTACTCTGGTAGCGAAGTACACCATCTCCCCCTTGAGAGAAAACCTCCACTCTCTGATTATGGACTGCATTCTTAAGTTCAAGCAAAATTGGGTCACTGTGTTGCTTTTCCTTAACCTCCACTACCAAAGAAGATTCTTCCCTATTCTGAACTATTACACCACTATCTAATATGCTCATAAGGCGAATTCCCAAGAGAGCAAGCCTGTGAACATCCTTCACTAGCTCCTTCCGTTCTCCCTCAACATGGGCTACACTACCCATATATAATCTACTAAGAGCATCTTCTACTACATTCGCCTTACTAGAATGATAATGCACACTCATATTATAATCCTTAAGAAATTCAAGCCATCTTTTCTGGCGAAGATTCAACTCTTTCTGGGTGAACACATACAGAAGGCTCTTATGGTTAGTGAACACATCTACGTAAACACCATACAAGTAGTGTCTAAAATATTAAGTGCAAACACCATTGTTACAAGCTCGAGGTTATGAGTTGAATAGTTCTTCTCATGAACCTTAAGTTGTCTATAGGCATAAAGCTATCACCTTACATCGCTGCATCAACACACAACCTAGGCCAACTCTGGATGCAACACAATAAATCACATAACTATTTGAACCCTCTGGTAGACACAAGACAGGAGCTGTAGTCAATCATGTTTTCAATTCTGCAAAGTTTTTATCACAATCATCTGACCATTGAAACATGACCATCTTCTGAATCAACCTAGTCAATGGTGATATGGATGAAAATCCTTCCATAAACTTTCTGTAATAACCTGCTAGACCTAAGAAACTTCTGATTTCTATAGCAGAGGTAGGTCTTGGGCATTTTTTCACTGCTTCTATCTTCTGTGAATCTACTCGGATCCCTTCGCTAGATACAATGTGACCAAGGAAAACAACAGATTGCAACCAAAACTCATATTTGCTGAACTTAGAGAATAACTGGCGATCCTTGAGAGTCTGCAGAACAACTCTCAAATGACATGCATGTTCTTCCTCACTTCTAGTGTAAATGAGGAAATCATCAATAAAGATGTTTACGAACAAGTCCAAGTACTGTTTGAACACTCTGTTCATCAAATCCATGAAAGCTGCAGCAGCATTGGTTAGTCCAATTGACATAACTACTAATTCATAATGACCATACCGTGTTCTGAAGGCTGTTTTCTGAATGTCACTATCTCTGACTCTGAGCTGATGATAACCCGATCTGAGGTCTATCTTTGAGAAATGACTAGCACCCTGAAGTTGGTCAAACTAGTCATCAATTCTGCAGATGGGATACTTATTCTTGATTGTCTTGTTCAACTGTCTATAGTCAATGCACATTCTGAGAGAACCATCTTTCTTCTTTACGAACAATACTGGTGCACCCCATGGTGAAATACTAGGTCTGATGAAACCCTTATTTAGAAGGTCTTTCAACTGCTCTTTCAATTCCTTAAGCTCTACTGGAGTCATTTGTAAGGAGGAATAGAAATAGGCTGGATATCTGGAAAAAGATCAATTCCAAAGTTGATTTCCCTTTCGGGAGGGACTTCGAGAAGATCTTCTGAAAATACTTTTGGAAATTCACAGATTACTGGAACTGACTCAAGAATTGGGGTTTCAAGGCTAAAATCCTTAACCCGAACTAGATGATAGAGATAACCCTTAGATATCATCATTCTGGCCTTAAGGTTAGAAAAATCGACCCATAGGCGTTAAGCTACTACCCTTCCATTCTAGGATTTGTTCGTTTGGAAACTGAAAACAAACAATCCTAATTCTGCATTCAACTGAGGTATAACGTGAGTGTAACCAATCCATGCTTAGAATGACATCGTAGTCTACCATTTCTAACTCTACTAAATCTGCTGAGGTGACTTTCTGAGAGACTGTGACGGGGCAATTTTCTATATACCCGTCTAAGCTATAATTTGGTCACCGACTGGAGTAGAGACTGAGAAAGGTTCTGAGAGAGTTTTTGGATTGACATTGAATTGGACTGTTATGTAAAGAGCACTGTTGTGAAAAGCGTGCTTCAAAGCAAGGCGGCCCTTGTGCGCTTCTTTATCTTGAGGCGAGGCATTTGAAAAAAGCTCTCGCTTCAGATGAAGAAGCGAGAAGCGACCCTAAGGCAAAAGCGCAATAAAACGCGCTTTTTATAAAAAAGCGACAATTAGTTTTTTTTTAAATTAGTTTTTTATAAAAAAATTAGGTTTTTTTTTAAAAATAATCTGAAATATACAATATGGTTTCTTTCTCTCCTCACGACTCTTCTTTCCCTTCTTTCTCTCCTCACGATCGTGATTGAGGCTGCCTTTCTCTTCAACCTCGACCGCGACTGCAGGTAACCTTTTGTTCATTTCTTTTTTAGCCAATGTTTATTAGTTCACCTCTATGAGTTTCTTTTCTCCTTAAATATACAATCTTCGCCTGTGCTTCATCTCTTTTTCTCTCTGAGTTTCGACTATTCTAGTTTTTTCTTCTTCTCCTCTTCTTTTCTTCATCTGCTGCAATCTGCTTAGTTTCTAATTACTGACTGCTGCCTCCTCTGTTTTTTTTTCAGTTCTTGTTGTTTTTTTCGTTTATATTTTGTGATCAGTATGTATGCTAGCAACTTTTTTTGTTATTTTTTGACACTTCCTTTTTGTTTGTAGTATTTAGTGAACTTGTATTTTCTCATTCAAGATGTCACAAAAGAGGGATCCGGCTTGGGCATATGGAACTCCTATGGGTAACACAAAAGTCAAATATATCTTTTGTGATGTGACATACAATGGCGGAATCTTTCATCACAAAAGGCATCTCATGGGTGGCTATAGAGATGTAAAAGTATGTCCGGAAGTCCCGAATAAAGTGAGGGAAGAGATCAAAGAATATATGTTCAAGAAAAATGAGTTTAAAACTCAGATAAACCATGAAGCATCCATGGTTAATCTTGTTGATGATGATGAAATGGATGATGATGAATTTGAAGTGAATATGCCAATGCCAATGCGGCCTCCCTCAAAGCAACAAAGGATGCCTTCAGTAGTGGGAGTGGGTCTTCCATCAATAGCACCGTCAAGGGTCCTTTTAATCTCTATTTCTCGCAAAAATCAAACGAAAAGAGAAAAGTTGAACCTTTTGACTTAATCTTCTAGAAAGATTTTGAGGGATCGTGCTGTATCTGCTTTTGCTAGGTGGATGTATGATGTAGGACCTCCTTTCAATTGTGTTAACTACACAGATAGTTTTGGTGAATTCATTGAGACAGTCGGCCAATATGGCCCTGGAATGAAGCCTCCCACCTATCATGAGGTAAGAGTTCCTTTTCTAAAAAAGGAGGTGGAGAGGACAAACAAGATAGTAGAAGAACATAAGGTTTAATGGAAAACGTATGGTTGTTCCATTATGATGGATAAATGGACAACAAGGAATGGAAAAATGGTCATTAATGTTTTGGTGAACTCTCCAAGTGGGAGTGTATTTCTTGAATCTTATGATGCTAGTAACTCTTCTACCGACTCTAATAAGATGTTTAATTTGTCTGAGAAGACTATCATGAAGGTAGGGCAGGAAAATGTGGTGCAAGTTGTGACTGATAGTGCAATTGAGAACAAAAAAGCAGGTAACATGTTAAAGGGAAAAGTTCCCACATATTTTCTAGACTCCTTGTGCTGTTCACTGTATTAACTTGATTTTGGTGATATTTTCAAAGAAGCCCCGTATTCTACAAGTGAACTTCAGTCTTGATATTTAATTTGCTTTTTTAAACTTCATGTTAGATTTCTTTACATTTTAACTATCATTTTCTTGACAGTTTTTGGCAAGGCTGTTAGGATACATGCTTATATCAATCAAAGGGCAAAGAAATTTGGTAAAATCTGCCAAGACAAGATTTGCAACAGCTTTTTTGACTTTGTATAGTTTTTATAAGCAAAAGAAAAAATTTGAGAAATTTGTTTATGTCAACTGAATGGAATGAGAGTATTTATTCAAAGGAACCTCTTGGTAAAGAAGTTGCGAGACATATTATTAGTCCATTTTTGTAGAATGATGTTGTTCAAGCACTTCGAGTTGGTGGTCCTTTAATTCATGTACTTCGTATGGTAGATGGGGAGAAAAAACCACCAACGGGTTACATTTATGAAGCCATGGATAGGGCCAAAGAAAGTATTGAAAAGGCATTCAATTAGGATACAAGGAAATATCAAAGTGTTTTTGAAATCATTGATGCAAGGTGGACAAATCAACTTCATCAGCCTTAGCATGCAGCGGGACACATTTTGAACCTAGTGCTCTATTATAAAAATAATGACATGAAGACTTTAACAGAAGAAGTGTGGCAGGGATATCATAAATGCGTTGAGAGGATGATCCCATATAAAACTTTGCAAGACAAAATAGGGGAGGATCTTGGTGTGTACATGAAAGCGGATGGCCTACTTGGAATTGAATCAGCCATTAGAGCTAGAACCTTGAGATCACCAGGTGAGAATTTCATCTTTTAATTGTTTACAACTTCAACTTTTAAGTTATTACACATCTTTTAAAATAACTCTTCTACAGTTGAATGATGGATGCAATATGGTCATAATGTCCCAAACTTGCAACAATATGCTATAAGAGTACAAAGTTTAACTTGTAGCGCATCCGGTTGTGAGAGAAATTGGAGTGTGTATGAACATGTGAGAAACTACATTACATTAATACATTATTACTAATTTAATTGTTATCTTAATCATCCCAAGTCCTCCTATAAATTACTTTCTACTATGTGCAGATTCATAGTAAAAAGAGAAATAGGCTGGAGTTGACACGCCTCAATGATCTAATAGAACATTGGCGCGTCGTTACAAGGTCGTAATACCATTAATCCAATTTTGTTGGATAGTATTGATGAGGCAAATGAATGATTTAACTAGAGCACCACAAGATCACCAAGATGAAGTGTACGAAGGAGAAAGTCTCACTTATGGTGATGTTTCTGTGGCAAGTGGTATTGAGGAGAATATTTATAGTTTTAGGGGGAGTACAGTAAGGGGCAAGGAAAGAGAAGTTGGAGGTTCTAGTTCAAGTCGAAACCTTGTTGATGAGCCTTCTGATGATGAAGAAGATGATGACCAAGTAGAACCCTTGGTTATGGCACTTGAAGAGTTTGAGGATCTTGTTGAAGAATAGGAGTTTGAATCTTTGTGATTTAATTATGTTTTTGATTTTTTGCTTTATATGTTATGACTTATGAGTATCATTGACTATGTAATTTCTTTCAATCTAAGACTACATTATCTCTATTTGGTTATTTAATTTTTTTTTATTTTTATACTAAATGTCGTTTTTTTAAAAAAGCGCCCGCTTCACTTCACGCTTCTATGAAGCAACCCCTTGTCGCTTTTTTCCGCTTCTCGCTTCCCAAAACACTGGTAAAGAGTTACAAAAGACAAAGTCATGTCTGTTGTCTTTCCACCTAGTGAACCATATGTGAGTCACATCCTTGAGTTGGCAGGATGCTAATCTCACCTATCACTACCAGTTACTGACATCACACCAAATATATATTTGACCTCATCAATGAACTTCTGTGGGTCCTTACCAACTTGCGACCCTAAAAACTTATGCGGATTCATCCTAACAAAATCACAAACTCTGGCTGCCACTAATCAGTCATATTAGTAGGAACTATAACCTTCTGATTGTTCTATGTTCTCATACTTTGAGCCAAAAGCTGAATTGGCGTTATGAAACTCTGCATTTGAACTTCCTAATTTGGTATTTGAGGAACTGCGTAAGCATAGCGTGCATTAGCATTCCATGCCTAAGCTCTACAAGAAAGCATGATCTTAAGACTCAACGTCGAGTTAGAATGGAATTAGATCATATCTTACGCACGATAAGTAACAAAACAAGAAGGTGAAGTTTTTCCTAGAACACTTCATAGCCTCCCTCTCATTAGATGTGGTGCACTTCACACCCATGAAAAAGACTACTTAGTGCGGCTTTTCAGACATCCTCGGACACATAAATCTAGTGCTCTGATACCAAGTTTTGTCACGCCCCAAGCTTCCCCCGAGACGCGGACATGAAACTTAGAACCACAAGTGATCAAGGCTAACCCTGCTGGCCTAATCATGAGCATACTAAAGATAATAAGCTGATGCGGAAGCTAAATCATAATTAAATCTGAAAAGATGGGGATACCCATATTTTATTACTGAGATATTTGAAACAATGAGTTTAATACAAAGGAAATATTAACTCAATACAAAGCTGAATCTAACTATGTCTGAAATAAGCTTCTAAATTGGACTAGAAATACTGGGACAAGCCCCAGCTAAATCTAGCAAAAACTGAAACTAAAGTGACTAAAGACTGAAATGAAACTCATAATTGTTGTCCTCGGAGAATGAGGACTCACCACTGAATCTACTGAACTGGAGATCGGAAAATCGATCTATGCGTGATCTGGATGCTGAGAACCTGAACCTACATCAAGAGAAAATGTAGAGCATGTATGCGTCAGTACTTGAAAGGTACTGAGCATATAGGATAGAGTAAAACTGAAATAAAACATAACTGAACAAGCATAAAAGCAAGAATAATAATCTGACACATAATATACTGAATTTCTGAACTAACTGAATGCAATGACTAATTTATAACATGCTGAAACTGAATACTGAGTATACTGATAATGGTCAATGTAGAGAGTCTGACTGATCTGTGGGAGCTACTAATAACCGATAATAAAACCACATGAGCTAAATGTGGAATCTGATGTATACGCCCCATCGAAGGACCCAATATACCCTGCCAAAGGTATAAAGACATGTTGTCGTGATCACTAAACTGATTTCCCACAGAGGAGACTTACAACCTACTTGGCTAGTAGTTTTGCGACTATTGGGTACGCTAAACCCTAGTCCAACTCGTATTATGGCATTCCCAAAGAATTTTGTAAATTAACTGATTATGTCTGAGTTTCTGTAAATACTTGATTCCTCGAAATTGGACATGCAACTGCATTTCCCCTTAACTGTCTGCAAATTTTCCACCTACGGTCAGATCTACAGACCGTAGGTCCACCTACGGACCGTGCTGGTCATCCGTAGCTCTTGTCAGAGTGTGGGTGAATGGGGGTCTCGATTGACTGTCATGGACTATGGACCGTCGTCTAGCCTATGGACCGTCGGTCCGTCCGTCGATCAAGACTTAGCCAATTTTTTCCCGGCTGAATTTTTGGAAGTTGCTGATCCCATCGACGTTTGTGCAGGACTGACCGTTGTTCAGGCTACGGTCTGTCGATGCCACCGTTGGTAGCACCTGCAAATTTTTCTGAAAAACTAATTTTTGGTTTGTTTTGGCTACGGGGTGTTACATAGAGGCTATGTTGATGCCCCTTTTTTTTAATGCTTCATGCGTCAAACAGGCTCTCCTAGCTGCCATCCAGACAAAACACTTCACTTTAGCGGGAGCCACACTCTTCCAAACAGCACTCCATGGCCCTGGTTTTCTTCCTACAGTTACTGATAGACCCCATTTGTACAATCTGTTGACAGAGAATCTTCCATTTGGGTGTTGTCCCCATATAGACCGTGTTTCCAAATATGTGCCTGGAAAGCCTTTAATCATATTCGGTAGTTCAATTACCCCTTCTATCTCCCAGTATTTAACAACCTTCTAAATACCAATTTCCACCCTTGTTGAGACCACATCTCACTGATTTTGCTATCCGGATGCTTACTAATAGAATAAAGTCCAGGAAACAAACTTTGAAGAGATCCTTGACCAAACCAGTCTTCTTTACAGAATAAAACCTTATCCCCCTCCCAACTTTAACTTTTGTATTAACTTCTAGGATCGGCCAAAAGCTTCTGATAGTCCTCCAAACTCCCCCTCCACAAGTGGTTGTTACTTCATCCGAACACAATTCCCCTTCTTGGCCGAATTTGTGTTGTATAACCTCTTTCCATAGTGCATGTTCCTCTTTGTTGTACCTCCATAGCTACTTGCTTAGCAGACTTTTGTTATGTAACATGAGCTTCCTTACTCCTAGACCCCATAATTCCTCCCTAGTTGAACTTCTGCCCATTTTACTAAATTGAAACTGTTCTCAATTTTATTTCCTTGCCGGAGGAAATTCGTTCTCAAAGCATCTAGAATTTTGACCACCTCACCAGGTATAGGGAAAAGGGATATCACATTAGTTGGTCAGGAATATAGCACGACTCTACCTGCCAATGAAAGGTATTGAGACTTCCAAAGTGCCAACTTCCTCTCAGTCTTCTCAATAATTCCATCGCAAATAGTAATAGCTTTATGGTTTGCCCCTAATGGCATGCCTAGATAAACTGTTGGTAGCTTCTCTACCTTGCAGCTCAAAATGTTGCTAGTGTTTGAATCTATTGAACTTCTTTTACAGGAAGGATACTGTTTTTTCTCCAGTTAACCTTGAGTCCAGAAACTACCAGGATCACTCTTAAATAGCATAATTGTTCCTGGTTTGTTTCACAAAACACTATTGTATCATCAGCATACAATAAAAGTGTCAACTCCATACTGTCATTTGCCCTGTTTGTTATATTGAAGCCTCTGATCCAATTATTTTTGCAACGCTTTTCTCATTAAAATGTCAAATCCCTCCACAGCTATAATAATAAAAAGAAATGGAAAGAAAGATCTTTGAATATTAAAACTATTTTTTAAAAATGCTCCCAGGCGCATTTACCAATGACACTATCTCTCCTATTTTCTAGGATTGCAGAACCTCCCTTTTCGGGTAGACTAGCTGGAAATTGACCCCTTCCATTCAAACAACTCAGTTCTTACATCCCGTGATTACTGTTTTACAAAAATCATCTCCCGTCTTTAGAAATTATGGGGGATAATACAATATATTTCAACCAAGGTATTAAATCATATGACATCACCAGATGGAGTTCAAACAATGTTTCATGGTATGACTGAGTGGATAGAAGCAGAAAAATGATGAGGAGAGTTACGCTTAGTGAAAAGGTGCTAGAATGGATTTGTTTCCTTCTCAGAGAAGCATCATCACACCAAAAAAACCAGGTGAGAAGGTGGAGATTCAAAGATCAGGTGGCAGAATTCTTTGGTACGAGGAACCATAACTGTCATGGGAGATATATGAGTATTCTCTCACTGCAAGGAGAGGGCAAAACAGTTATTATTGTACCTGAGTCAGACATAAATGCTGGATGGAAAAGTGTGGCATTTAAGATTCGAAGTTTCATTTATTGCTCACCACAAAAGGAGAAGACACAAAGCAGGACACATGACTCTAAGATGCCATATGCAAAGCAGTTACAAACAGTAAATGGCAAAGTAACAGCCCTGATATGGTCACAACCAAAGGCCGACTGGAACCAACTGAAGCCAAAATCAACGATCAAGGAGTACTGGGAAGATGTATCTTTGGGTATTTTGACAAGGAGAAAGCTGAAAATCCCACCCTGTCTGAGGTTAGACGTTGGTCTTCGACGGTATGGAAAAAGGCTTTTGGGATCAATATTTATGAGATGCTGGACAATTGTTATCTCTTCGAGTTCCCAAACAGATACATGTCAGAACAAGTTCTCCAGGGAAAATTATGTAGAAGAGAAGCATACTCTAGTTAGAGTGGTGGAACCCTACTGCAGGATGCGTACCTATCTCTTACAAACTCAAATCCACTTGGATTAGGGCTATGGGTATTCCAATGCATCTTTGGACGGAAGAGACTTTCCACGAAATCGGAGAACTCTGTGGAGGGTGGCTGGCGACGGAGGAGGAAACAAAGCTAAGAAACCACCTCAAATGGGCTAGGATCGAGACACAAGGGGATGATCGAAGCATGACGATGGAAGTCACCATTACCAGAGAAGGAATTAACTTCATCATCCCGATATGGGTGGAAAGGAGAACTCGATTTGAGTTGCCGCCGGAGAGAATTGGAACAATTGCCAGAGAAGATGACGGGTGTCAAATGAAGATCCAGCGGATAATAGAGCCTTCATCCTCTATATCTGCGAATCCAGAACATGATGGTGATGGAACAGGGGAGAAACACGTGGGGGACAACTGGAGAATTTTTTGAATTGACTGAAATAGCACGTGATGGGCATGTGAACAATTTAAAAAATGAATGGGCCTGAAACCTAATGCGCTGGACCATGCAAATATTATTGCTAACAATTTTAACCAACAATCCAAGGACAATCTCTTCCAGAAGGTCATAGTGGATGAAAGCTGCACTTTCACCCTTGAAGAACAACTAGAAATGGACTGTGCGTAGCACGCA